TTGATGGATGGGTTGATGGATGGGTTGATGGATGGGTTGATGGATGGATGGATGGATGGATGGATGGTTGGATGGATGGTTTGTGTCTTTCCATAAAATGTCCCAACTGAAACCAAATTGACAATAAAGTATTTTCAGTGAAATGAGGAGTAAAAATATCTGTTAAAACTAATTTTTTTCCTTCACACATAGGAAGCAATGAATCCCACAATAATGACAGAAATATATATTTTTTAGTTTTGTGCGTACAAACATCATTTAAACACAAAACAAACAGTCTCTATTCACATTTTAGAGATTTTTGTTTTTCTTCTACCTCTGGCATCTCCTGAAGACAGGCCTAAAGTAGGGGTTATCATTGTTGCCAAGGCAACCTACAGGGTAATTTTCTGTAATTTTCCCACAGAGAGATATATTGACAGTGGGGTCCATATTGTGATGCAGCAGACTGCAAGAAAGCACCTACAAACACAAAGAAACAAAATGCTTCTCACTCTGACAAGGAGAAAGTGTTGTTGCCTGTTTCAGTGCATTAAATTTCACTGTAAGTTCTGATAATGTCTAAAACCTCATATTTTACAGACTGTTTTTGAGGACATCATTTAGTCATAAAGGCTTAGTTTAAACCTTGCAACAAAAATATACATTCTTTTAAGTTGACTAAAGGCTGACAGAATTACTTCCAGCTTACTTTTACTGACAGTGAAATCATCTATTTCATCCTCTCTGCATATGTTTAATACCATGGATTGGACATATTTAAGCTCATATTGAATTTTTGCCAACTGCTTCATTGTCTTTGTGAATTTTCCTGTTGCAGCTCTGCAATGGCGGCTCTGTGACAGATCTGGCCAAAGGCATGCTGAAGAGAGGAGACAGAATGGATGAAGCAATCATCGCCTACATTTTGCACGAAGCTCTCATGGTAAGCCTGGTGTCCTGAGCCTGCACGTGGCAGACGGTGGTGCGGAATGAAGTGGGGGCAATGAAAACAGCTTAAATGGTGTAATTATACAGGCAGGTGCTTGACAAAAAAATACCAGTAACCTTGTCTTTACACAGGGCCTGCAGCACCTGCACATCAACAAGACCATCCACCGGGATGTCAAAGGCAACAACATCCTGCTGACTACACAAGGAGGGATCAAACTCGTGGACTTTGGTATGTAACGCACCCCCTTTTGAGAGGCATCCTTTCTTGGCACTATTCCTCTATAATCAACAAAAATCATGTTATGGCTCCATTTAACACAAGAGGGTCAAATCCATTACTTTGAGCCGCCTGCCAAGAAAACTATGCCCCCAATTAGTTTCATTTAGAGGCCGAAACAAAACGACACAACCCAGAAAGGTAGCAGATAATTATTCTTTTCATTACACCCTTTCTTTGCCTTAGACGGGAAAGGGATTCTGCCCGTGCTTTCACTCATTTGCTTTTTGAGTTTTCTTAACCAAATGAGGCACTTTGAGCAGCGAACCACTGCTCCTGGACCGAGGGCTCACAATACGCAAAGTGGCTCTGACTATTTACTGGAGATGACTCACCACTATTTTCTTCAGGCGCTGAAAACCCAGCTGCCTGTTTTCATTACAAATACCCCCCCACTCCACTCAGCTTGTGTGTAGGTTTGCATTTTGTCTGCTAATTGTGGGCTACTCTTAAAAGCCTTAAACGTGAAGCACAGAGTGCAGCTCTTGTATGAAGAGGAGGAGGAGTGGGTGGTGGTGGGGATTAATGGAATCACTAATCTGCAGCACATCCACCTTTCACATTCGTCACCACTTTTTCCTCCTTTCAGTTTTATATTGTCACTGTTTATTGTACAATGTCTGAAGAATGTCAGATATTTATCATAAAAAATATTAAGCTGCTGATCTATAATTGATCTGCAGATAATAAAACAATTAACAAACAGAAACATTGTGTTAAAATCTATCATGAATCCCGTGTCACTTCCTATCCATAATGTGCCTACAGCATCTTCATGAGGCTCTCAGAGATAAAGTATAATTTATTAGAATTTAATTTCACCTTTCAAACAACATTATTGACCATTTGAAAAGCTAAAGCGAAACATGACATCTTGTGTCTACACTTTAACAACCATTATTTTTATTTTTTTTATTAAACCTACGAAAATTAAAAATGAGAAGACAAAAGACTGTGACATTTCCACAACAGTTGTGTTATTAGGGTTGGAATTAAAAATTAAAGATGAATGATTATGTTTCAGCATAATGCAAGTTTTAAACCCCCTTCATGAAGGGAAACAATTTTGATCATATTGATATAACTTGAGTTTATCACACCCTTTCCTGTTTTTATTTACAGATACTATTAGATTTTTTTTTTGTTTTTTTGCTAATTCATAGTTTCTTTTTTGTTGTTTTACTCCTCTCATGGCTCCAACCTCAAGCAAAAGCAATGATCATGTAAAGTGGGGTTCTGTGGAAAGGCCATGGATAATAAACATCTTACCTGTCGTAGATTGTTTTTGGATGACTAGTTTGAACAAACAGAGTAAGATATTATTTATTCCTTTTTGACAGAACCACAATACCTACATAGGAGCTGAGCTGTTCCTTAAAGCAGACTTTGACAAACCTTTATTCTTTTGACCCAAACAGTGCAAACCATAGAAACTTGTGACCCCGACTAAAACTGGTTATAGTTCACTAATACTGCTAACAATCCTTTAGTCATTTAACAACAAACCCCCTATCATATAATTTTATTCATATTTAACTGCCATTTTACTTCTTTCTATCACTTGAAGCTAAATGTACAGTTGACAACTATTATTAAAGACATTTGGTTTTATAAGAGTTTGTTTCTCGACCACATTGGCAGCATTGGCTGCTTTAAGATATATTAACTATAAGAGTACACAAATGTGACGTTTTAACTACTATTCTGTCTAGAATTCAACTTGTATATTGCTGTGCCCTCAGATGACATAAGTTGTAAATTATTTGTGTAGAAGTGAACCAATCTGCAAAAAATTTGATTGCCGTGTCCATGGACATTAGCATCAGCTGTTACCTTCTCAAGCTAAGCTAAAGTTGACTTTTGCACCTGTTAGGGCTGAACAATTTATATGAAAATTATAAATCACAGAAACAAACAAGTGTGCAAGTAGCTACGATATCAAAACCTGCTTAGAATGTTATCACCCATTAAAAGGCCATTAATAATTGTTATCATCTCCACAGATTTCTTTGAGACTGTCCCTCCTGTACCTCTTAGTGGGCTAAAAAAAACAAAACCCAAACAAACAAACAACAAACCCTCATGTCCTCTCTTAAGTGAGTTGTCTTTAGATACTGAATTAAAGACATAACTGTTATACCTAGAATTCATTTTAAGTAAACCCTTGCTATTCAGCATAAAAGTAGTAGGTCAAGTGAAAATATAGGTTTTAAATAAATCTAACAAAAAAGCTTCAGCTTTTACAAACAGGCGAAGCTGCATATTATCAGCGATAACAACGTACATTTAAACCTAGGAGGTACAGTAGGGACAGTTTGAAGGCAACCTATGGGGATGATAACAACTAATAACAACCATTTAATGGGGTGATAACATTCGAAGTGGCTGTATCACAATAAGCTGTGCTAACCATTAAGTCATAGTGCTATAGTGCTATTTGGTTTTCAGCTGGTGTAAAGTACCAAAGACCTCTATGTAAATATGCATCTAATGCAAAAGGAAAAACAAAGCAGGGGTTTGTAGTTTTAGTTTTGAGACTGGAGTTGTTTTAAGATGGTGGTAATTTGCTTTAGAACTGGCTAGATTTACATTCCCAACAATAATTTCTGTTTACAGTAGTCCCTCGCTACTTGGCAGTCCGTTTATTGCTGACTAGCTCTATCGCGGTTTTTCAAAATAAGAGTGGACATGACACACAAGTGGCTGATTAATGGATGAGTCCCACGATCGACATGGATTTTTTAATTTAAAATAAATTATTTAAAATAATTTAGCACCTGTGTGCACATTTGTGCAGCACTTACTGCAGGATAAGCTTCCTGCTGCAGCTGATCAGCTGTTCTCTGTGCAGAGCAGAGAAGTGGGCGTGGCCAAGAACGCTTGGCATGACGTGACAAAGAGCAGGGGAGGCAGAGAGAGGGGAAATCATGACATTCTGTGCACTTTTAGAGCCTTTAGAGTTTAGAAACATTGTTTAGAATATTGCAACAGTGTTGAAAGGGTTTAAAACACCTTACATATATATATATATATATATATATATATATATATATATAAATTATTACTTACTACTTGTAAAAAAGGAAATCTTAATCTCTCTATTCCTACTTTGCGGTTTTTCACTTATCGTCGGGCTTCAGGGTTCGGATCCCCTGCGATAAACGAGGGACTACTGTATCCTGTCTGATTATGCTCTGAGTGATTTCTGCTGCAGGTAAGATATTAACCACTGATGACTACTCATATAATACCACTTTAAAATTCAGAAGCTTTCTTTTAAATTTGGTCCTTTGAACTGTGTCACCTTGTTTTTAGGCTTCACTTAACCTTAAAAAGATGCATGTGTGACATACATTTACATGTAAGAATCTAACATTTTTATTCTTTACTGACACAGTAAATGTCACCTTTTTCTACTGAAACAAAGGCAGTATTGCACTGAATGTTACAATCTGCCACTGAAGAGATTTGAACGAGAAGCGGTCATAATGTTTTCTACAAATGATGCTTCTATTGTTCCTGCTGGTTTGCTGACAGCTACACTTCAAATCAGGTCTGTGACGTCACAACGAAGAAAAGGAGGAGCAGTTTGGAGAATAAGCCTGATGTGTGCAGCAATTTGCAAACCAATGAAAACTGCAATGTTAAGCAACCGGCTTGAGCTTCCTTCGTTCTTCTTGCGTCGTGCTGGGATTAATGGTTTTTCATGGGGAGGAGGGGTGCATGCTGCACTAAGCAGCTGAAGAGATAAAGCCCCTGCTGTGGCTCATCGCCAACGGAGACGCACACAAAAAAAAAAAACAGCAAAGAGATGGACCAAAAAGAGCAGAGGAGGAATGAGAACTGCTCATTCGGTCGCTCATGAATATTCTAATTGACAACGTTATCTCTGTGATGATTATTAAGTGTGCCCCACCAGGCTCCACTCCTGCCTAATGTAGTGAGAAAACACTGGGCTGTAGAAGCTTTAATAAAAACTCTTTGTGGTTCTACTTTCACACCGACTGATACAGTACACCTGTAGAAATCACTGGAAATACACGTTTTATTTCGAGAGCATTAACAAAGTTTCATGTTTTTGTTCATACTCCTGTAACAAAGGAAATGTTTCTTCCTTCTAATGCCAGATGATGCAAATGTCTAGTAGTTTTTTAGGGGGTTGATGACAAGCTATGACTGTTCTTGTATATGTCAAGCTTTTTCATATATCCCCTCCTGCACATGATATAATCCTCTTTGATATTTGCCACAAAGCCATTTTCCTTTGGTATTTCTTTCCATTGCATGCACAAACAGAGCTAAGGGTTATTTATCTATACTCCTTTAGAAATTCAAAAAGTGCACAGAAATGCTTTTTTTTATAATAAGCGGTTGAAAAAGCAGTTGTGATTTCATTTTGTCATTGCTTTAGGATTAGGATTGCACACATTTCTGTACACGAAGTGTATTTTAGTCTTATTTACACATTTCATCAGCTAGGAAAATGTATACTAACATCTTCTCAGGCACCCATTTTATCCCTAAAAGCTGTTTGATCTGACAGTCAACACTGTTTAAAATGGTCTTAACACAATGTTTGTGACTGATTGAATATGAATATGTTAATAAAAGGAATACCAGCTAGATTTTTGTACAACACTAAAGTAAAAGTACTTCTTCCACAGAATATTAGTTTTCTATATTGTTTTCTTCTTTGTGAAGTAACATTGATCAATTGAGAAGTTGATGCATGCTAGGAAATTAGCCTATATACTGGTTGCTAAATTGCTAAATAGTCCTGGCAATTTATGGCCCATAATTCACCAGGTCTTAAGTGTCATTCAGTCTGACTCCAAGTGAAATTTTGTGGGCTTTCTCTTAATTTTGTGTCTCCAACCAGTTCTCAAAAGTGGCAGTCCACAGAAGCTACCTTAAATCTTAGCTTGCTGCAAACATTTTTTATTCAAAGCATCCATCCATTTTCTGACACATTTGTGATTGGGTCATGGAGGCAACAGGCTCAGTAGATAAATCCTGACACTCTCCAGTTCTTCCTGGGAGATCTCGGGGCATTCCCAGGACAGAGAATACATATAATCCTTCTGACCCGAGGTCTCCTCCCTGTGGAACTTTTCCTGAAAACCCTTCAAAATGAGGTGCTCAGGAGGTATAATGATCAGATGCCAGAATCTCCTCAAATGTTTCCTTTCGATGTGGAGGAGCAGCGGCTCTACTCTGAACTCCCACCAAATGATGGAGTTTCTCACCTTCTCTTTAAGGCTGAGCCCGGCCACCCTACGATGGATGACCAGGTTGCTTGTCTGAAATATTGTTCTTTTGGTCAAGATCCACACCTTATTATCACAGGTGAAGTTTATTTTGACCATGGCAGAATGGCCCAACCACCTTCATTTTGCATAAAAAGCCCTAATCTGTTGCTCCATCTCCCACTCCATCCTACCATCATTCATAAACAAGACCTTCAGATACCTCAGTTCCTCTTCGCCCCCCACCAGGAGGGAGCTGTTTGAGAGTCATGGCCTCACACTTAAAGGAACCCATTTTTGCAGCCACGATGGTCTGTTTTGCTATCAGGAATAATTACAAATACTTCCTTATCTTTAGTTTGCCAGTGTCTGCTTTTGTCTGGAGGCTTTTGTTCTGGCTCCAGCCCTCCAACGAGGCAGCTGCCTCAGCAGGAGCAAGCCCTGGGTGTGTGTGATGCTAACACTGATTTGTCTGGACTGGACCAAAGTCACAATTGTGGGTCAGCATGTTCTATATGTCCGGCTTTCCAGCACACACATGCAAGCTTTATCTCAGTAGAATCTATTTTGCCAGCATGAAGTAATAAATCTCTGAAAGACGGTGAAGTGTCTCAAGTTGCCAGAGCCTGTTTACATTTGAATTATATTAAAATGTTCTTGAAACGTCCGACAGAGTTACTTGCAGACAGAAAATAATTTGTAATTCAAAGTAATCTATCATTTTGAGAGGGGAGAAACAAGCAGATTGATGTTTCTGTCTGTTTGTACAGTGTATGTATTTTCTTGTCACTTCAATGACAATTCTATCAGTGGACTACAAGGAAGTTCTGAAATCCATTTGGGCTTGCATCAGCATCCTGCCATTTCTCTGTTCACCGCGGTGCTTTTCACAGTTCATCACCCTCACCTGCAGCTCTGATCATCGTATTAAAAAAAAAAACCACCAGTGATGTTGCGATGCAGTGATTTATCTCCAATGAGCATTGCTCAAAACGACTGAAGTGTGTATTCTCCTTCCTGCAGGTGTTTCAGCCCAGCTCACAAATACCCGTCTGAGGAGGAACACCTCTGTGGGAACTCCCTTCTGGATGGCTCCTGAGGTACACCACAACAACAGCTCATAAATGCTCTCTCATCCCCCTCTTTTTCCACTACATTAGCCTGGAGCAGATCCCAGTGGGCAGTTCAGTCCATAATCATCAAAGAGATAACACCATTAAACTCACTGTGGAGGGAGGAATGGGATGAGAAGCCTCCATCATTTATCTCCTGTCTGATCACAGCTCAGTGAAACTACACTATATAAACCCTTAAAACCAAAATGGTTGTATTACAAAATGACCTTTTCATGTCATTACGTTGCCATGTCGATTCGACTTGTTTTATAGTGAGCTGATATTACTCTGCACTGTGAGGACATTTCATGCTTTGAGTCATCTGACTAGCTTTTACCATTTTATTTTATTTTCTCCATATTTTAGTGTATTTTTTTTTTGTTTTAGTTGTACATAAAAGCAGTTCAGTCTTCTCAAGATTAATTTTTTTTTTTTTTTTAAGCATCTTCTTGCATAAAAGAATGACCTTTTCTTTACTTTTTGGCACAATCAAACATAAATTGGGTTTTTGTTTAGGGTGTTTTGTGCAACATTTTTGTATTTTGTGCTCACATTTTACAAATAAGACAAGTCTTTTTAAGTTTTACTAAGAGTTTGGAGAACTGTTTGATGAGAAGCTGGTAGAGCTTTTATCTCTCACAAGAAGGTTGTCGGATGGAATCCCAGCCAGGGACCTTTCTGGGTGGAGCTTATTGTTGTCTCTGTGCGTGTGTGGGTCTCCAGACCAAAAACATGCATGTTAGGCTGATTGGTAACTCCAAATTGTCTCTAAGTGTGAGTGAGAAAGTGAATGTTTATGTGTCTATATGTGTCCCTGTGATGGACTGGAGATCTATCCAGGGTGTCCAGTCCATCACACAGCTGGACATGGACACCATTTACCCCCAAAAAGAAATAAGTGGATAAAGATAATGGATGGAAGAGACAAACTGTTTTTAAACAAACAAACAACAACACCAACGACAAAAAAAAGCAAAAAATAAAAAAAACTTTGCAGTTGATGTAGTCTTTTGTGCTGAAATCCACTTTAGAATTGACCCCCAGTCCGACTAGCTGTTAACTTGACTCTTTAATAAGTATTTCAACCTGATTCTTTAAATTGAGATCATTCTAAATTATGTCTACTGCAGGTAAGATACTGAGTGCACATAACAGCTCCATAGAACCCCACTTTATAATATACAAACTATTACTTTAATTTAATTTATTAAAAGTACAAAAAGGCACTCATATGAAGCCAGTGCTGAGTAATATATATATATATATATATATATATATATATATATATATATATATATATATATATATATCAATCAATCAATCAAGCTTTATTTATAGAGCCCTTTCCAGCAGCCAAATGGTGCACAAAGTGCTGCAGAAGTTAAAAACAAACAATTGAGAATAAAAATAATTTTTTTTTTTTTTTTAACCAGCCAGTTAAAAACAAAAACAATTAAAACATAGCAAGATTGTCAAAGAAGTACTAGGTATGAAAAGCCTGCCTGAATAAAAAAGTTTTAAGATTAGATTTAAAATGCTCCATATCAGTGATGGAGCACAAGTCCTGAGGTAGATGGTTCCAGAGTCTGGGTGCAACAACCGAAAAAGCCCGGTCACCCCATCGTTTGTAGTTGGACTTTGGGACAGAGAGTAGAAATTTACTAGATGATCTCAGTGTTCTCCTATATTCACGGACAGCTACAAGATCAGTCAAGCAATATATATATATATATATATATATATATATATATATATATATATATATTCTGCACAGCAGCTACAACCTATCACTGCCCAGAAAGCTCTGCTTCATTTGGATGCTCTCCTCTGAATTTCCATCCATTTTTTTTTACCACATTTCTGTGCAGGATCACTGAGCTGGTGTCTATCTCCAAAGGTTATTGTGCAAGAGGCTGGGTGCATCTTGAGCAGGTCACCAGTCCATCAGAACGCTCTGAAACTCATTAATCAGAACAAATCTTTTACATCTGATTTGCATGCTTTGCAAATTTGACTTTACTCTACAAAACGCATGACATACTCTGAAGGAATTTTATTCTCATTTGCAAAGTCGATCAACAAAGATCTGGGGAAACGCATGGCTTAAAGATTTAGTTGAAAGGTCTATTGGTATCAGATCAATTAAGGATCAACACTGGAAACAGGAAAATAAAACTTCTGATTTGTTTATTTATTTTTTCACTTTTTTCCCTAAAAAACTGGATATTGTGGATTTCAAGTCGTATTTACTGACACAGACTCTGTGACAGTTCTGAGGGACTCAGGTAAGCTGAAGAACTGTGAGCATGAAGCTGCAGTCAGGCTGTATTAAATATATCTTTCCATTTAAGGTTACAATTCAGATATATATTTTAAATAAATTTGTTTTCTTTAGAAAATCAGTTTGCCTGAGACGTGATTAGCTGCTGACTTCATTGTTGTTTTTACAGTTCTTGGACTGAAACATGAGCGTGCATTTTTCTGCTGTGAAATACATGCACTACTGTGCATAGTGTTGGTGCTTTTAATCGTTTTGTCTGTGCTTTTAAATTAATGTCTCTTGAAAACTGCAAACACAAATTCTATTGATGTCCTACAGTATAATGGCAAGCTGCTGTGTGTCTATATGTGTTAGTGCACGTATGGCCGTGTGAAGACATGCCTCCCACTCAGGTGATTCATATTTTAGATTGGGTACCATGTTGCCCTCAGGAAAACTGTGATAGACTGACTCTGAGCATGTGTGGTGTGCTGCTCACAGGGTTTGATATTAGGTCTTTGTTTCGACTGAGGCGCTACTGTTCAAATTTTAAGTCAGGTTTGTACTCTGTGAGGTCAGAGCTGCTGTATGTGTTGTTTTGTTTCTATTTGGTAATCTGCTCTTTGCAGGTGATTGCATGTGAGCAGCAGCTAGACTCAACCTACGACGCCCGCTGCGACGTCTGGTCTCTGGGCATCACTGCAATCGAGCTGGGAGATGGAGACCCACCTCTTTCGGACCTCCATCCAATGAGAGCCCTTTTTAAAATACCAAGGTAAAAATTCCCTCACCCACTTTGCAAGAATTTCTCATAACTATCAGCTGGTTTTGTGTTGATTGTTCTCTTGAGAGTTGACACAGCTAAAAAGAAAAGAAAAAAAAATCTGTCTCATGCTTAGAATCAATTTAAATAAAATTTACCAGAGCGTGAACTAGAAATACCAAGTACTCTCATGTTCAGACTCTTTAAAATGACTTTGCAAAGGTTTTTCCATCTTTCTGCCTTTTAGTGAATTGATTTCGATGTTAAAGACTCAAGATAGGTTTTTACAGAAAAATACATAGGATTTTCATCCCTATTATTTTTCCTGTGTGCCTTTATTTCTCCTTTAGCCTCATACGGAGACAGCAATGTGCAAACTAATTCAGTTATTACCCATTCAATTAAACGGCTGAACTATCCATCAGTTCTGTTAGGATGCTGTGACACAGTTTCACCTGCTGTGGTTAAAATGGACTTGATAAAACTGAAAAAAGAGACCACAGTGAAAACAATCCCTGTAGAGATACTTGTTTTGCAGGTTGCAGGTTGTTTTTCGTCTCTGGATTTTGTCTGGAACCGTGTTCTTGTGCTGGATTTGCATTTTGCCTCGGCGATGTGATTTAGTTGGAACTCAGTCTGATGACAGCTGATAGGTCCAAGTAATCCTGGCGACCCCGCAGAGGTAAAAGCATGTACAGGAAATGAATAGATAAATCACTGCTGGTGCCATGAGGCAGTACTTGCAGTCCTTACTTAATGCAAAGTTGAACAGTAGCTCCTCTGTGATGACGCATTTGTATGATTTATTTGCCAAAAGGTTTATTCTGCTTCTTAACACAGTCTCAAGAGCTTTAAGGAAGAACCAAAAATTGATCGTGAGCAGGACAGGGTCATGAAAGCGCAACAGTGTTGCAGGAGACCAGGCCCTTTGGATGAGGTGATTTTGGTTGTTTTCACAACCCAGCAGCAGGACCAGGACCTCCGCTTCTCTCTGCAAAGAGCAGAGCTGCCTCTAACATAAACTCATGTACTGTACATATTTCTTAAACTGTCAAAAAACACCTGGAAACAGAGCAAAGACATATGAGATAATAGAAAATTAAACAAAAGAGATACAATCTAAAACAGTTAAGCCTAACTGCTTGATCCACTCTGAGAAGGGGCTATTTATAAGACTGTGCTGAATACAGCTCCTCAGACTGAAGAAGTCTTTCGGATGAAAGACAAAATGTTTCTACATTTTTTTGTTTTCTTAAACCCATCCAGAGCAACTGACTTAACTTTTTTTTAGATTTTTTTATCTACCTGGATTATTGAACAGGAATCAGGAAAAGAGACAAAACCAAGATGATCTAAACATAATTATACACAGAACCAGTAAATGCAAAGCCATGGAAAACTACAGTGGGTCTGAGGTGTAAATGAACAACATTTAAGAAACAGAATTACATTTCAAAAAATGAAATTACATTTGAAAAATCGGAATTACATTAAGCCAAAGCAGATGTGACCAAAGCAGAGCCTCTGTTGTGTGTAAGCATATATGTATCGACCATCAAGACACTTTCCGGGTCACATATGTAGGTGAAATATAAAAATCTAAATCAAATGAGGTTGTGGGGCATTTTACAATTGTTTGATTTTTGATGTGAGGATAAAGTGAAAAATGCAAAAAGCATGAATGTATTGGATTTTTTTGATTTTTTTTTGCATCCCTCATGAAAATGAATAATGAAACAAGTTGGTTTTTTTTATTTTTTAAATTTGGATTCTCAATTAAAAAACAACTGAATGAATGGTACATGGACCGCACTTTGTCCAATTCCACTTTGGCCACTTCTGCTTTGGCTTAATGTAATTCCATTTTTTTTTCAAATGTAGTTCAGTTTTTTTGTTGTTTTTTTTCAAATTTTATTTTTGTTGTGTTTTTTCAAATGTAATTTCTTTTTTTGAAATGTTCATTTACACTTCAGGGCCACCATACTATGGTGCTAACCATATGCTAACCATACATGTAAAACAAATACACAACAAAAATCTGCAAACCTTGACATCTTTTCACAATCAGCTGCCTTACTCAATAACAAGTGATTCTTACTTAAACTTAAGAAGTTGGAATAAATGTAAAAAATGGACAAAAATGTATAACTTATAACAAACTCTTTATTGACATCTGATGTTGCACTAATCAAGTTTTTGCAGAGATTTTTAAATATATTAAAGATCTTCTGCAGTCAGTGCTCTGATACCCCCCGACACCCCCAACACAACACACACACGCACACAGTGATGTGTGCAGTTTGGCCCATAGTCCAGGGGAGTCTTTCTCCTTATTTCTGTACAACATCACCAGAAGATGCAGTCTTCTCATTTTAAATAGCTTGTTTTTCCTGCTTGCAGGAGCTTATCCATCTCCCAAAGCCTCCCAGGCACCGCCTCCTGGTGGGTGGGTGGATGGGTGGTGGGGGGCAGGCTGAGTGCACAGCCACCCTTTTCTCATCTGCTTGTTATTGAGCCGAAGGTGATAACTAATTGTTTATTGCCTCCTGGTTCTAGTGTGAGACCTACATAAGCACTCACAGTCACTGTCATCCTGACGGCACAGCACAGCACTCTGTCCTGAATCTGTACACAAACACACACACACACACACACACACACACATACTGCTGCTGTGTCAGAGCTGTCCTGTGCATTTTGCTGTGGGGGTCGTGCTCCACCGGAGCCATCACACAGATTTCTCTGAATCTGTGTGACTGCTGCAGCCAGAGCTCCAGGCTCTGTGTTCACACTCCTTCCTTCCCTCGTCGCTCCCAACAAAGAACTTAATTCTACTGGCAGTCTGAGAAAAAGAAATGCTCAGGGCATTAATGCTACCCAACCCTGTCTGGTTTTATTTAGGTTAAAGCACAAATGTAGGACTGTTAGGGCAACCTCAGTTCCAGCTACATTCCAATATATGGGATGGCAATTGTTGTACAAGAAAGACTAAAGGGAGTTTGAAACGATGGCTCGGTTGTGTCAAGTAACGGGTTAGCAAGAGCTTTGAGTAGAGGATTCAAGGTGGCTTTATTGTCATTCACATCACATATGGTACATGAGGTGGAACGAAACTATGTACACAGGGTCCCAGTTACATCCAACAAAAATACAAATTGTAAAGAAAAACAGTAACAAGATCCAAGATATGAACTAAAAAATACACTAAACTAAGAATACACTAAGCACTAATAGTGCAAAACAATGCACCAAACAACAGCAGCACGAACATGAGTCTGTGTGAGCAGATGAGGACTAATGAACCCAGCAACATGAAATAAATCAGCAGCATGAGATCAGCACCATGGATAGTCAGCAGCACATATCAACAGCCAAGTGGCATTACAGTGATTTTCACAATGATTATTCTGGTTAGAGATTCATGAGTCTAACAGCTTCAGGGTAGAAGCTGTTCCTCAGCCTAATGGTTCTACACTTAATGCTCCTCAAGCTTCTGCCTGAGAGGAGTGAGGCAAAAAGTGTGTGTGCTGGGTGAGTGGGGTCCTTCATGATGCAGGTAGCTCTCTTCCTGCATCTGGAGGTGTAAATGTCTGTGATGGTGGGGAGACTGACTCCAACAGACTTCTGTGCAGCCTTCACCACTCTCTGCAAAGCTTTTCTTTCTGCAGCTGTGCAGCCTCCATGCCACACGATGATGCTGGAGCACAGGATGCTCTCCACTGCACACCTGTAGAAGGAGGTGAGGACTGAGCTTCCCAGACCAGCTCGTCTCAGCCGTCTGAGGAAGTAGAGTCTCTGATGAGCTTTTTGATCAGGCTGGTGGTGTTTGTTGCTCCAGCTGAGGTTGTCATTCAGGTGTACACCCAAGTACTTGTAGCTGGAGACCACTTACACTGCAGAGACTCCTATGTTCGGGGGGTGGGGGGGTTTATTCCTTCTGAAGTCCACAACCATCTCCTTCGTCTTCTTCACATTGATGTGAAGGTTGTTCTTCCTGCACCAGCTCTCCAGGTGTTGCACCTCCTGCCTGTAGCTGGACTCATGATAAAGCTAGTTAAAGATTTGGTGCCATCATTTAGGATCTATTCAGTTAAAACAACAAAGAAAAATATATTTTCTACTGTATGACTATATAAAAGTCAAATTCGTAATGAAAAGTTTAAATATGCTATTTATATTGTATGCTTTTATTGTGTGAATGTTTATGAAGCATTCACACTATTGTGATCCATTTTTCTTCTGTACATTTTTCAGCATCTTTTTTTGTTCCACAATTTTTGTGCTATTTCAACAAATCATAAATCAAAACGTTCTGCTCTTTCAGGACAATCCTACTATGAATTTTGGTTTTGGTGCTGCTTTAGCTTTTTGAAATATTTTGCCTTTTCTGCCATTTTTTCCCTCATAAAAAATGAATTGAGCTCATTTTACATCCTTCAAATCTTTAGATCTGTTTACAGCATTTTACTGCTCGTTTCACTTCTTTTTTTTTTTCTGGTTCAGCTTCTTTCAGCTCCTTTGTGCAAATAATAATAAAAAAAATCTGCTGTTTTCAGCAAATTCCAGCTGTTGTTTTCAGCTGTTTTGTGCTCCTTTCTTTTATTCTACAACATTGCTGTGCTTCCTCTAACTTCTTTTGGCTAATTTCAGCTTGTTATACTCCTTACATCTTATTTCTGCAAAGTTTAAGCTTTTTCCGCTATTTCAGCTACTATTTAGCTGTTTTATGTTAATTGTAGCTTTGTTTTTGGCTAATTCTAAACTTTTTTGCACTCATTTAAACTTTTTTCAGCCTTATTCAGCAAAAATGTGCTCTCTCCACTTTTTTTTTTGATAATGTAAGCTTATTTCTGCTTTTTAAGCTGTTTTTGTGTGTGTGCTAATTTCTGCTTTTTTCAGCCTAATGAGGCACAACTGTGCTCTTTCTATTTCAGTCTGGTAATTTAAGCTTCTTTTTGCCTTTTTAGCGATTATTCGGCTGTTTTTTTGTTTGTTTGTTTTGGGTTTTTTATGCAAATTTCTGCTTTTTAAGATAGTTTCCACTTTTTTGTGCTAATATTTTCCTATTTAAGCTTAATTCATCAAATATGTGTTCTTTCTTCTTTCTTTTGTTAAGTTAGACTTGTTCTTCCATTTCAGCTATATTTCAGCATGTTTTTCAGCAATAAGCATCTACACTGCATTTTTGCACGAAATGCAAGTTCTCTAGTTGTTTTGTTTTTTTTAAACAAAAGAACATTTACTTCCTTTATTGCACACAGTTAACTTCATCAAGATAAAAAAAAATATAATAATAATACTATTTCTGTGCAGTGGACTCTTAAGTACAACATATTCACATGGCCCGTAGCCTCTTTAAGGTGTTAAAAACACAAACGAGTTGTATAATTAAGTAGCACAACTCCTTCTCTCAAGTCATCTCTTCACATCCCTGCTTGTCTTGCGGATAAGAAAACACTTTAGTAGTCAAAACATTAGCTGAACAGGTTCCAAATAAACGCCCAATGCATTTGCTGTCTATGTTTACTGTGTTGTGTGATAAACAGGAGATGTATGTCCTCTCATTAGAGTAATTTATTGCTGTCAGAGCTGTAGTGTGAAAGGCTGGATGCATTAACAGACAGCAGTGACTTCTCCCCCATGTGCCAGAAACCCTCTTGTAAAAAGGTACTTAAACCAGAGCAACTGCCTTTTTAAGATAAACACTCTAGGTCTGTTTATGAGAGATTTTATGTATTTATTTCGGTAAAAGCTTTTATGGATATCTGTTTAAAAAAATCAATGTTTTCACCTAATAAATCTACAGTGATAATCCCACCTATCTGTACAGGTTTGTTGCCTTACTCCAAGTCAGGAACGTCCCTGGATGTCCTCAGTGACAAATTGTTCCAGCGTTCACATTTCGCTCCATCATTCCTCCCTGTGCCTTTGTTCTCCGCTCGAGTAAATCCCACCCTATCTTTCTATTAATCTTTTCCATTTCTTCTTTTAACAGAAACCCTCCGCCTACTCTCCACCAGCCGGAGCTTTGGTCAGATGACTTTAATGACTTTATCTCTAAGTGAGTGTGTCTGCCAGTGTCACTTCAGCCGTGAAAAAAAATAAATAAATTGGCGCCAATGGTTTGAATGTAAATATGATACATTTATTGTAGCCCTTCTCCCTTCCTCTATTGCAGATGTCTGATTAAGGACTTTGAGCTGAGACCAAATGTGTTAGACCTGCTCCAGCATGTGTTCATCAAACAGACCATTGGCAGAGAGAAAATCCTGCAGAAACAATTGATTGAGCTCATTGATCTCAACCAGCAAATAGGTGTGATTGAAAAGACAAGGTATTGTGTTCAACTCTGCGTCACGCCTTCACCTTAAAGTGTGCAATAGATTACCGGTAGCTCAAAGATCTTACCACCTTTTGTTGGTATGTTATGCTGCACTGCAGCTCAGTATTTTCAGGCAGTATGAGCCAAATCACCCTCTTTCTTGGATGTATTACAAGCCCTGTACACTCCCCTAAACAAAACCCCAATCCTGTACGAGCTCCATCCAACTTGTAGATGGTCTGGAGGTTGTGTTGTGCTTCTAATATCATACAGTATTATTCCTGTTTCTGTTACTGAAGCCATCATGGAAAGACAGACAGAAGTACAGACACTAATGACAGGTAATGAGTACATAAATGTGTATATATATATAAATGTTTATATACAGTATCTATGTATGTATGGCCTAGCTCTAAAGTAGAAGCTTTTTTAGTTCAGTTAGCAGTTGTGTAGAATACTGCCTTTCTTTGTCAAAGTAGTTGTGCATATTAGTGGTATTTTTCTACATTATTATTTTGCATTGGTATGATAATAAAGTATTTATGTGCCTGTGTATACAGTAAGTGTTTTTATAGGGGCAATTGTGGCTGAGTGGTTAGAGCAGTCGTCCTCCAATGGGAGAGTTGGGGGTTCAGTTTCACCAGCAGTCACATGCCGAAGTGTCCCTGGGCAAGACAGTGAACCCCTCATTGTCTCTATGATGTGTATCACATCGGTGTATGAATGTGATAAAGCACTGATTATTATTTGTATAGATCTTGTAGAGTGCTATATGAATGGGTAAATGAGGGCACAGATTTTAGTGTAAAGAGCTTTGAGTATCTTGATAAGATAGAAAGGTGCTATATAAGTGCAGACCATTTACCATTTGTCTGTCAGTAAATTATCTCATGAACTAGTGTACAGATTTTCAAACAACCTTATTGACACAAAAAGGCCATAATTTCATCTTTTTTTGTTGTTGTTTGTTTTACAAATAGTGAGCTAACATTTAATGTGGTAGTAGAACAACGTACTCGGAACACAAGTAAATCATGCAATTTTTTTATCCATGCAGCAACGCAAATACGGGAATATAAATTCCTTCAAAAATGATTTATTTGTTTGACTTATTTCTTGTTTCATCTATAAATCCCTCCTTGGTAGCAGACCAAGGAGGGATTTATAGATGAAAATGAACCAACGTGAGAGCCTACGTGTAGATAATGATGACCAACTGACCAAGGAGTACAGGGTGCAATGATGGGTAGAGTAGTTACAACCAGTTACAGATCTTAGTGCACCATGGTAGACAGCATCCAGCATCTGCAAGCAGCTGGCAGGGGCATTCATGTAAATAATGTCACCATAGTCAATGGCCAGTAGGAAGGTAGCGGTTACAAGGCATTTTCTGGCATTCAGAATTAAACAAGGTCTTTTTCTGAAAAAGAAACCCAATTAAGTTTATTTATCAAGTTTTCAACATGTGGTTTAAAAGAGAGATGCATAAACCAAAATTCCCAAGTATTTGTAAGAATCTACAAGCTCAATAGGAACACCATGCATGCATGAGATAGGAGGTAGAGTTGCTGGCACCAACTTTCTGTTGGAAAACAACATTCCTTTGGTTTTGTTAGCATTCAGCACCAGCTTGAAGTTGAATAAGTCTGACTGAATTATGTCAAATGCAGACTACAGAAGCTGGAAAACCTTGGCAACTGTGTTAGCTCGGCAGTAAACAACAGTGTCATCGACATAGAGATGCAAGGTTGCGTCAGGAATGTTTAGACCTACATTATTTATATAAATTGCATAATAATAGTGGTTCTACACTTAATGCTCCGCAAACTTCTGCCTAAAGGGAGCGGGGCAAAAAGTGTGTGTGCTGGGTTAGTGGGGCCTTCATGATGCAGGTGGCCCTCTTCCTGCATCTGGGTTTGGAATTGTCTGTAATGGTATGGAGGCTGACTCCAACAGACTTCTGTGCAGCCTTCACCACTCTCTGCAGAGCTTTCCTTTCTACAGCTGTGCAGCCTCCATGCCACACGTTGATGCTGGAGCACATGATGCTCTCCACTGCACACTTGTAGAAAGAGGTGAGGACTGAGCTTCCCAGACCAGCTCGTCTCAGCCGTCTGAGGAAGTAGCATCACTGATGTGTTTTCTTGATCAGGCTGGTGGTGTTGTTGCCCCAGCTGAGGTTGTCATTCAAGTGCACACCCAGGTATTTGCAACTGGAGACCACTTCCACCACAGATCCTTCTATGTTCAGGGTGGTGGTGTGTTTGTTCCATTTGTAATGCATCCAACCACTATTGTATCGTCTGCAAACGTTAAAATATCACAGCCTGGATGGGTAGGAGCACAGTCATGTGAGCAGAGTGAACAGGAGGTGGCTCAAAACACAGCCCTGAGGGGTGCCAGTACTGAGGGTTGCTGAGTCGCATTATAAGTTAAATTTGCATGGAGAAGTTTATTGAACTTGAGATTTTACGGTATTACATTTACAGTACATTGAGTAAAGAGTGAACATGCCTTTGCTTAAGAATAGATTCGACATCTCTGTTCAGTTCTTTAGTCATCCTCATAATGGGCTGAATTTACTTTTAGAAATAGGTAGGGATTTACTTTTTAAAAATAGGTAAATATTGTTATTAAAGATCAAATGCAATGATATACAGGAATTTAAATCCTTTAAGACAGAACTGTGTTTTATATAATATCACAGAATGTTATCTTTCTTCTATTTTCACTTTAAAACAGGTTTTAAACAGAATTCAAAGTGTTGCACTCCCTTTTCAATTACAATTTATACAGTTTGTGATCATTTTCTTGATTTCCAGGCATGAACGTATCCACACTAAAAAAGGAAGCCACATGAATTCACAAATCGAAGCAGATGAGGTTGATGACCTCGCTACGATGGAAGTTCTTGATGAGGTAAACAAATCTAAAAAAACAACCCAACTTTAAGGAATGAAATCATAATAAAATTTATTAAATAATCTGAATTGTTGAGCCAAGAAAAAACTAACTTTTGTTACTTGAACTTGTACACTCAACATATATTTGTTATTAAATGTAAGTTAACAATTCTTTTCTGTTCTTATAGGACTGATCAATGTGCCATTGTTATTATTATTTTTGCTTCTGTGAAACATTTGATCAAATCTGAGTGCTGCATTGATGTATTGAATGATACATTCAGCCTCAGTTGCCAGCGGATATTTCTTTCCATTTGTCAAGCTGTTGTTGATGAACCTGGCAGTGAGCAGACAGCAGAATTGATCACTGCACCGTGAAAATAATACACTGACAAAGAAAAAGTCCCAGGCTTTGACTTGAGACAGGACATAAGATAAAACAGTGGGGGATTCTTCTACTGTTTTCTTTCATAATGTCTTTTATTGTCAGAACACAGTCACAGACCAGCTTCAGTATCGATACGGTAGAGGTCAAATCTACACATATGTTGGGGACATCTTGGTTGCAGTCAATCCTTTCCATCAAATGGACATTTACACTCCTCAGGTCAGTGGAAATACTGCCGACCTTTATAGATAATTTTACACAATTATTTTGTCTTTATTGGTGGCTTTATGTTTTATTTTGTTCTTATCCTCAAGAGCAATGTGCCTTTCACAAGTTATTTGTATTTTTTAAGTTACATAATTTTGTCTTTTGTTAATCTCTTCTCTTTTTAGTACACTAAGATGTACATAGGGGCGAAGCGTACAGCAAACCCACCACACATCTTTGCAGTGGCTGATATTGCCTACCAGTCTATGGTTTCATACACTGCAGATCAGGTAACATACTCATTATGACGCAACAATCACGTATTCACACTGTTTTATTGTCTCTAAGGGACAAAATATCTAGCAGCAACTAGTTTTGATGCTGTTTCATATATAGTACAGGATTAAAGAAAATACAGAAATTACATACAATATTTTTCGCTGTATAAGTCGCACCTTTTTGCATAAATTTGCAAGTCTTGCGACTTATACACCAAAGTGACTAATATACTTTTTTCCCCATATTTATAACCCAGTTTTTGGCTGAGATCTGACGATTTCATTCATCCTGACTTGGGAAATATTGAACACTTCCATTTTCAGCCGCTAGAGGGCCCTCAACTTATATGGCAAGCCAAGTGTCTCATTAATAGGTAAAAGTGCCTATTACTGAGACATTTGGCTTGCCATACCAAGCCACCTTCGTCTCGCTCAGGAACTCCTAGAGCAAACATTAAATCAGCTGCATTTTGCCGCACTGCCCAGGTGAAATGCATCTGATTTGATCGTTAAAGTGCATTTATTAAGGAAAAGTTCAACTGAGACACACCTTTGCTATAATTTCGAGCAAACAAATGATTGTTTTAAGTGTTAATCTCGTTAAAGTCTTGTTAAAGTCCACCCGTGCACGCTCCCGCGGCCGCCATTTGACAGCCAATCGATTTTTGGCACAACAACAGCCCACATTTCCGGGTGGTCAGCAGTGACGCGTAACAAACATGACACATCTGCAGTGAAGCATAATAGATGCGACTAATACACTGAAGCAACTTATTTATATTTTTTCCCCACTTTATTAGACATATTTGGACTAATACGACTTATACGACAGTGTGACATGTACGGCGGCAAGTATGGTAGTTGCACTGATTGGCAGTGCAGTTTGTGGAGCAATTCTCCCTTTGAAAAAGTTTTGGGAAAAATTTAATACCAAATTTGTGTCCATAAAAGGTGTGCAATGACTTGGTTAGTTTATGCCATTAGGTGTAAAGATCTCAGAGTTTACAATTTACTTCCATGGTTTCAAAGTGGGGCAGCACGGTGGCGCAACTGGTAGAGCTGCTGCCTCTCAGCGAGCAGGTCCTTGGTTCAAACCCCGGTCCAGGGGCCTTTCTGGGTGGAGTTTGCATGTTCTCTCCGTGCATGCGTGGGTTTTCTCCGGGTACTCCGGTTTCCTCCCACAGACCAAAAACATGCATGTTAGGCTGATTGGTAACTCTAAATTGTCCCTAGGTGTGAGTGAGTGAATGGTTGTTTGTCTCGTTTGTCTCTATGTGGCCCTGTGATGGACTTGCGACCTGTCCAGGGTGTACCCCGCCCCTCGCACAGTGATTGCTGGACATGGGCACCAGCGACCCCCGTGACCCAAAATGGAATAAGCGGGTAAAGATAATGGATGGATGGATGTATGGTTTCAAAGTGAATACTGGAAGTCATCATGTTACAAAGCAGGCACAGAGTGTTTGATAATCTCACCCTAAAACTCTCACATTTGTTGTGTTTTGAGCATTTTATATTCTAATGAAACAAGGAAACTCATTCAGTCAATCATAACACAAACTTTTAATCTGAATCTATCTCTCTTTCTCTGACAAAAGCAACATTTATATTCCATAGCTATATTTAAGGCAGTTCAGACACAGTTAATCTTTGCACATACATATTGACATTCTGAGTCCTAGCAGGTTATTCTGGGACACTGTGGCATTGGTTAATCATTACACTAATCATGGCACGTGGGTTTCATTTGCACTTTTTAACGTCTACAGACATTATCAAACTCCTCCAGTGTGCAACTCCATGAGTTTAGTTATATTGTGCATTATTGCATGTTTTAGTATTTGTTTGAATTTTCTGTTTGTTCAAAGAGGTTGCGGTATATGATGAGCTTCCTGGGCCACCGTACACTTTAATAATACCAATAAAAGACTATAAAATGTTATTAGTAGCCTTAAGTCTTTGTTATGGTGTATTTGTTTTATATTATAATATATTTTATCTATCATTTATTTGTGTTCCTGAGTTTTTAGATCACTGTATTTTTGACTCATTATTGTTTTATTTAATTTGTATTTGTGTGACTTCTTGTGCTCAGTGTGTTGTGATCAGTGGAGAAAGTGGAGCAGGGAAAACAGAGAGCGCTCATCTGTTGGTGCAGCAGCTGACCGTACTTGGAAAGGTGAGTCAGTCAACACATCATTGTGTCGTTACAACTGTCCATCATTCTCAGTATCCTCTAAAGCACGTGTCAAACTCAAGGCCCGGGGGCCAAATGTGGCCCTTGTTAACATCTTATGTGGCCCCCAAGATTCTACGTGAAACGTACTTTTATCACTTAAATTTTTTTCAGTAATCTTTGATTTTGATGTGGAAAGCACAACAGAGAATGTCAACTGAGACCAATCAAACTCTTGTTGAGGAACCTGTGACCAAGAAAAGATGCTGGGTATCTGATTTGAGTTGATGTAGTTTCTGAAATTGGCCCTTAGTTTGAAAAAGGTTTTAATTTTGGCCTCCTTTTGTAAGTAACTCTGACACTCCTGTTCTAAAGGGTCTTTGCTACTCTTACTTAAGCAATGCTAATATTCAATTCAGTTCAATTCGATTCAAAAATACTTTATTAATCCCAGAGGGAAATTATAGAATATGATATAATATGATATTATATATCAGAAAATATTGGAAATTTAAATGTGTAAAACTCTTTTTCACCTTATATTATTTTTAATTTATTACATCGTTATTGTTTCTTGTGTTTTTTTTTATGCATTTATTTTGTCTATGCTGCTTTCATTTAATTCTACACCATCACACCATTTTTGTATAATGTTTTATAAATCAATTTAATATTTGCATTTATATGGAAACATTTCAGGCTAACAGAAGTACAAAAAGACAGTTGCATGACCATGCAGCCGCTTGTGCACCTCCTGCAGAATTAAAATATATCATATAAAGAAGATTTTGAATCTAAAAATGTTTGATTCGATCATTGAGATTGCCCCTTGATGAGTCTGTTGATGCTCCAGCTGGTGCCACTCATGATTTGCAACTTAACTGAAAGGAAAATTTCATTTCTAGTCACTTTAATTTAGTCCCACCTGACAGAAGGAGCATGCAGAAATGACTGTCACGATTTCCACTGCACTGACTTAGAATCCTGTTTTTTTAATCCAGGCCAACAACCAAACACTCCAGGAGAAAATCCTCCTGGTCAACGGCCTGGTGGAGGCGTTCGGAAATGCCTGCACCGCCATCAACGATAACTCCAGCCGCTTTGGCAAATACCTAGAAATGAAGTTCACTCGTGGAGGAACGGTGGTCGGAGCCCAGATATCTGAGTATCTGCTGGAGAAATCCAGAGTCATCCACCAGGCGATGTAAATGTCACTTCCTTTGTTTTTGTTTGTCACCTTTACAACTGTCATCTCCTCTGACATTCATAGAAACTTAAAGCATGCCTGTTTTGTGAGAGAACAAGGACACAAAGGTTATATTTCCACACTGGCTGAGATCAGCGTGTAATGGACTTTCTCTCTCTCTCTCACCTTCACTTATCCGTTTGAAACTGGTGACATTTGGCTTCAGTCTGCACTTCAGTCACTTCGTCTTTTCCTCTTATCAGGTGTCTGGGGATCAGGCCAGGTCAAGTGCAGAGGAAGGCCTATTTCTTGTTTGATCAAAGATTGTTTTCTAGCAAGTAGAACTTCAAAGACATACTCAAGTATTTCATTAGGCGAGAGACCCGTGGGTCAGACGGGGTTCAAATTGGCAGGAAACATTGTCTGCAGCCACTTCTCTCTGGCTTTTACTCTGCTTATTAGAGGGATAGTAAACAAGGTGAATCTACGTCGTGTGTTGGATTACATGCTGAATATTTCATGACTTCTGTGAAGGTGGCACTTTGGATTGTTTGTCTGTGTGAATTATTTCTGTTAACACAATATCTAAGAAGCTCGTTAAGACATCTCCGTGTCATTTGGTGGAAAACTAAGCTTGTTTTCTTATATTCATTTAGCGAAACTAGATAATTCGGAACTGATCGGGTGTTTTTTTAATCAAGCATGTCAACACTGTTACCCAGCTTTAAAATACAACTGTATGCAAAGCTCAGTAGTATTATTGATTGTGCAGAATAAAGTATTTTAAACACAAATTTTGTTATACATGTATGGTTTAAAACCTTAAAGAAGGTAGAAAACCTGTTGGTAAACGTTGAACTATTACACTTATCATTCTTTTTTGAGACCAAGATACACGCCAAATAATTTTAACCATAAAAGTGTAAAAAATGACAAATATCAATAATTTTATATTATATTTATAAGGTTCTTAATTTCTGAACTGCATTTGTGTGTTTCCACAGAGGCGAGAGGAACTTCCATATCTTCTACTACATTTATGCTGGCCTCGCTGACAGGAAGAAACTCGCCCACTACAAGCTCTCTGACAGCAAAACCCCAAAGTAGGTTTAATAAGAAATTTCCGTCTCCCTTCTCAGTAGCTATATTTACATGGGCATAAGTAATCGGATTAAACGGCCCTTCGGAATAAAAGTGCAGGATTATTTTTTGTTTATTCAGCTCGATCTGAAAGAATTTGTAAACAGAATGAGAGGGGTGGTTTATGTCGATTCATAATCCGAAAAGTGTGCATGCAAACCATTAATCTGTTCATCTTTTTCCAATCGTGAAAAACTGACCTGACTGCGTATGTGCGACCTATGTAATTTCTGCCTGGCTAATGCTAATAATAGTAGCATGTCGGGGAAGCAAAACTGGTCTGTGAGCGACAACATTTCTACTAGAAACTGTGAAAAAGCTCAAAATGATCTGTATTAACTGTAGCTCAGTCAGGGAGTGCAGTAACGTCTCCACCATCATTAAAACCTGTCGAAGGTCCATTTTGGGTGCTTAGGTTTGTTCATGTTCATCCCGGAAGTAAACTGGAAGTAGAACTTCTTCTGTATTTTTTTAAGGAGAGTTTACCACTCTGCGCATGTCAGTACTTCTGTTCAGAACAAAGCCCACTGCATGTAAACAATCGTTGTGAACGGATTGTGCCCATGTAAACGATTCATTTGAATTATTTAATCTGCAAACATTTCAATCCGGTCAAAGAATTTTGCATATGTAAATATGTCAACTGTTCACCCTGGATGATGCAGTGTGAAACTTATTATGACATTAATGCAGTTAGTACTCACCAAACAAGTTTTTCTCTGCTACTTTCCACAGTAAATAAATGCTCTACCTTGCACGTACTATGCTCTATTTTTGTAAACAGTTTCTAAGACGATCCGACCATGTATGTTCACTATCGCACCACTCCCTTTACCCTGCCCTGGCATGGCTTACTCAGACCTCATCAAGATGCCGCTGTGTGCTAGGTGACACTAGTATGATGCTACCTCCATGAGGACCACATCTGGCCTTAGCTGCTTCCATGAGTTTGTCCCAATCTGCAGAAATTTCCTGTTCTGTTTGAGATTTCTGGGCCTCCACCATTAGTTTCAGTTTAGCTGTGTTCTTCCCTCCTCATCCAGTAGGTTTGGCTTTGATGTGAACAAAAATGTTTTGCCTTATCTCCAAAAGGCAAATGAAAGAGAGCTGAGGGTTTGGCAGCAATCACTGATTTTTGGAAAATGCAGATTGGTTACCGAAGCCACTTGGTGAGAGCGCTATAGAAGAGTTTACTGAGAGAGAACAGTGGTGGCATGTAATGCATGTAGCAGCATCAAGAACATTGTATTAAGTTTGTATGGAGAGCTGCCATGATGTGATCTTAGTCTAGGCATGAGGCTAACATGGGCCTTCTTTTAAAGACTTGGTTTATGTCACGGTGGCTGCCACCACGATGCCAAACACCCGTGACCTTGATACAGAAGAATGGTGTTTGTCCAACACTCTCCACAAACAGGAGCCCACTGTGTTCCTTATACGTACTTGAAGACAGAACATCCATGTTCTGGTGGATTTTTTTAAAGAAATGTTGCAACGTCATCATCCAACGTGAACGGGGCCCTAGTTTTTTTTTATTTTTAGCACAGGTTATTTTTTTAGTACCTGCACAGCAAACTTTGTACTTCTTAAGAACCAAGTCTCAAACTTTTGGTTTCTCTTTTGTTCCACAGGTATTTGTGTAACGAGCCCATTAAAGTAGGGCCTGACATCATTAACAACGCCTCCTTCAAAGAGCAGTTTGATGCAGTGGAGCAGTGTTTCAAAGTTATTGGATTCACCTTGGAGGTATAAACTACAGCACTGAACACTGAGCATATGCTGAAGGATGCTTGCCTACAGGATTGAACAGCATTCATCTAGGCTTTCGCCCACTCATTGTATTGTACATTGTGTATAGAAATCAGTGTAGCTTAAAAGATTTTCCATAACGTAATCATCAACTGTGGCACATATACAGGTTCTGGGGCCATCTTTGCTGCAGAGATATGTAGGCAGCAAGCTGTTGACATTGTAAGGACTAATGAGCCTCAAAGAACTGACTTCTCCTGGGTTCTGCACGTCAATATCACTTATCTTGTAATCACTCCGCAGAGCTGAGGCAGACACTTCTTATCCTGCGGTAGATTTCACCTCAAATCTGAGAGCGTGATACATTCCTTATGACGCAGGCTTCAAAAAGATTTTGAAGCGGTCACTCTACAGGCAAGCTGACTTTCACATATAAGGTGTCAACTGTTACAGTGCAACAGAGGATTCATTTTGAGGGTGAAAATGTATCATTTGAGCTGGAAAATTAATTTAATGCGCACAGATATAGGAAAATATTCCTATCCTGAATGGACATTTTTAATCATTTCCGAGCGTACTTGGTGTTATTTTTGAAAACTTCATTTGATATTTTTGCAGGAGCTGGGCAGTGTTTACAGTATTCTGGCTGCAATCCTCAACACTGGTGACATTGAGTTTACTGCAGTTGCCTCGGAGCATCAAACAGACAAGAGCAACATCACCAACGTTTCTGTCCTGGAGAATGGTGAGACAAAAGGCGGAGGTGCATGGTGACGTGAAGCCCAGCAAGACTGTAAATTTCCTCTCCCATCCCTCCCCTTTTCTCATTTTGTGTTCAGCGTCAGCTCTGCAGCGAGCTCCGTTTGGAGCAGAGATAAAAATAGCACATTGTTGTAAAATAATTTGTTCATCAGCGGAGACAGAAAATCATTTGCAAACATACGTTTTGAGATAATTAGATTCTGCACGACATGGTTTACACAATCCTTTTTAGATGTAATCACATGTTTTGGTTGGTAAATTCATGTGACGTCTTGCTGCACATTTGCACACGTTACATGTATAATTTCTCATTTCCCTATTGTAGAATGAATAACGATGTCTCCCGTCCCTTTTGTCTTCTTCCCGTTAGTGGCGTCTCTGTTACGTATCCGCACAGACGAGCTCCAGGAGGCCCTTACGTCCCACTGTGTTGTGGCCCGGGGAGAAACAATCGTCAGGCCCAACACGGTGGAAAAAGCGGTGGAGGTGAGGGACGCCATGGGCAAAGCTCTCTACGCCCGACTCTTCAGCTGGATCGTGAACCGAATCAACACACTGCTGAAGCCTGACAGTCAACTAGGGTGAGATGTCTTATTTATGGCTGTCATGAATAAGGCTAAAGACTGTGCTTTCCTAAAACAAACAAAAACTGAACTTAAAGGGACACTAACGAGACATAATGACGAACATCTGGAGTGATTGGGATTGGAAGCAGGTGAAGCAGGAGCTGACAACATGAAAGAAGAAACACGTGCGAAGGCAGGAGACCCAGGATCATAAACACAAGAATCTAAAGAAAGAACACAAGACACACAGGTTCTCACATTTTATTTGTAAAGCTCTTCGACTACTCAGTGGGACAAAGTGCTGCACAGTTTACTAGAATAAAACAAATTATAAACACCACATAAAATATAAATAATGAAAACATGTCACCTGTAAGAGCATGCATCTGTGATTTAAATCTTACATTGAAAATCATTTTAACCACAAATTACCTGGATTCTGTTTCATATACTGTTAAAAGCAAAACAGCAAATAACATAGTATCTTAAAATCACCTCATAAAGTATTGCAATACAAACTGCATTTGAAAAATAGCTGTTTTTATTACTAGGAAAAAATCAAAATAAAATAAAATTACAAAAGTATATATATATGTATACAGTAGTCCCTCGCTACTTCAGGGCTCGTTTATCGCGGACTCGCTCTATCACAGTTTTTCAAAATAAGACTGGACACGACACACGATTGGTTGACTGATGGATGAGCCGCATGATCGGCATGAAATTTTTATTTAAAGTAAATTATTTTTAATTATTTAGCACCTGCTTCACATTTGTGCAACCCAGAGCTGCAAAAAAAGCTGCTCCTGCAGGTTTTGTGCATCCCATAATGCAGGATAAACTTCCTGCTGCAGCTGATCAGCTGTTCAGCGAGCAGAGCGGAGAAGTGGGCGTGGCCAAGAGCGCTTGCAGGTGGCAAAGAGCAGAGGAGGCAGGGAGCTGAAATCATGACATTCTATGTTCTTTTAGAGTGATGAGAGTTTGGAAATGTTTAGAATATTGCAAGAGTGTGGGAAGGGTTTAAAATGCCTATACACACACACACACACGCACACACACACACATATATATATATATAT